TGCAAATCGAAGTGATCAAGTGGACACACGTGGGTTAAGGCAGGCCCCACAAGAAAACTGGACCCCAAGCTGTGAAGTTATATTATATATGTTACAATATATGGTGTTATGTGCTGACAGTGCTTCTCTCTCGTCAGCAACCGTGCTGCAGCATTCTGCACCAGCTGCAGTTTCTGGGTCAAGCGCAAGGGAAGCCCCACAGAGTGCATTGCAGCAATCCAATCTTGAAGTCACCAATGCTCTCCTGGCCCAGGAATAGCAGTAGTTATCGCACCAATTACAACTGGTAAAAGGCACTTCTAGCCCCTGAGGCTGCCTGGGCCTCCAGGGACAAAATTTGATTTGAATTACTTTCATAAGATGCTGTGGGTTTAGGCTTCAGAAAGACCCTTGGGGTGGGGAAAAGAGAAGGGGGGGTCCTGGGAACATCACTTCTGGGGACCCTGGGAAATGTCATTTCCAAGGCACCCAGCTGGCATATGATATAGCATGGATGGGGAATCTGTGGCTCTCTATATGTTGCTGGACTCCCAACTCTCATCATCCCTGATCACTGGCTAAGGATTGGAGGGAGGAGGGGGAATTCAACAGTTCACCTTTAAAGGTGAACCCACACAATCCATATACAATTCAAAACACTTTAGTACTCCTTCAAAATCTGCACTTTCATGAATTTCACAACTCAGATCCGCAGCTAAATAATATGTACAAAAGTGCCCGTGCCTGCGTAAAACTTTCTCAAGTTTTAAATCAACCCCACTGAGTTCAACAGATCTGACGCCTAAGGAACAATATATAGGATTGCACTCGTGCTGATTCTAATAAACTGGGGGGTTTATGGGGAGGTGGCTATGGGGGCTGTCAGGATGAGCTCTCCTGCTTCTCAAACTTTACCGCTGGTGTTCTGAATGCATCCCAATTGAATCAGGCTGCCCATTCCCCTCCCTCTACTTCCTCCCCCCCCCAAAAAAAAATCCATTCAAAGAGAGCATATGTGATAAATATTATCACTGAAGATTGCACACCAAACCACAGAGAAGCCCTTTGTTCTTGAGGTCTCCAATCTGGAAAGCACAGGAAATAACACTCATTGTTAAGCTACCCTCCTCCCAGCTAGATTCGCATCCTGTTCGGGAGGGATAAAATAGATAGAAATTTGTTTCTCGCATTAATCTGGCCATATTAGCCAGCGACAATAGGATTAGGCAGAGCACGGCTGTTTTCATTAGGGATCCTCTTAAGATAGGGATTGAGGAGGGCTCTAGAGGGCAGAATATGTGTGTATTCTGAATATCCCAGATGCCTACGAAGGCTGGTGGCTCCTTGACTTGGCTTTTGGGCTTCCCAGAGGCATCTGATTGACCACAATAGGGAACAGGATACTGACCTAGTAGGTCCTATAGCCGCTCACACAAAACCTCCCCCCAGCTTGATGAAACACCACTGATGAGCACTTTTGTGGCTGCTACACATTCATCTACTTCGATAGTCTTTTCAGGTTTGATTGGCCCAGTCCCATGGGAAGCATTTTTATTTTTTAAAAGCCATTGAGTCTCGGTCAGAAAGCATTATTCCGGTAGAAACTGCTGGTGGGAGCCTCATGGGCTGTTCATGGTCATCTATGGCTGCGCTGCCTGGGGCAGATGGGAGCTGTGGTTTGTTAAGGGTGCTGAGAGTTGTCAGGAGACCCTGTTTCCCCACACAGAGCTACAATTCCCAGAGTGGCTGAACCCATCAATCCCTCTTCCTGGGGAACTTTGGGAAAGGTTGCTGCGTGGTAGGACTAGGGGCCTCCTAACAAGTCTTAGCACCTCTGGCCAATGACAGCTCCCAGAATTCCCTGGGGCAAGGTGTGACTGTTTAAAGTGGTATATGGTGGCCTAGGAGCGACACAATGCTCTGATTCCAAGAGCTCTATGCATCCTGAAAGCTTGCTGTGTTTACCAAGATAGTTCCCTTCAGCGAAAAGGGAGTCTCTGTCTGCTTTACAACTTTGGCTCACTGCGTCTCACATTTGTGCAATGCCCGGCTGCTGAGCGGCATCACACACGCACATACACACACACACCCTTGCTTCTGACATTGCAACTGCCTCTGCCTCTCTCTCCTTGCTAGCCAGTCCTTCCCCGCATAAACCCAGCGCTTCCTATCTCCTGGTGAAGACCGAGACCCAGGCAGGATCCAAAAGGTTAAAAGGAGGAATGAAGAGAGCTGCCGATTGTAAGTGAATTATATTTGGCCTTGAAAGCCGAGAGACGCGGCTATATTATAAGGAGGCATCTCTCTCCCTCTCTCTATCTGTGTTGTTTACCATCACCCTGACTAATGCAAACCGTTTTTTGTTGTTTTTTTTTGTTTTAAATAATCTCATGCAAATTAGACACACACTTCCTTCCAGTTGATTGCTATCTGCAAGGAATAATATAACCGCAGAGGGTAAGAAGCAAGGACTGAGCCACAGCAAAGGGATGCAACGAAAACAGAACGTGACCCACATATCGACCCCCCCACCGCCACCACCACTTTTCTCCATCCATCCATCTTCTGTCCAGCCAGATGCCGCCACCACTGGACGAATTATCCCTTATTTTCATAACGCCTTATAGTATTTTTCTCCATAGAGGTCACGGGTGGAGGTGGCTCTTGACTTGCATTATACGAAACGGGTCTTTCGCACAAGCTGTGTACACACCGTGCACCGGAAACCTCTGTGCAGTTTACCACTGCACAGAACTACACTTCTCAGCACCTTAGCAAACTACAGTTCCCAGAGGTGGAGGTACCTTCCAGTTTGTATTATACAACACAGGCCTTTCACACAAGCTGTGTTAACACGCAACCTCCTTAGGTGGCTCTGGATCTCAGCTTCCTCCTCCTCCTTAGCCTCAGTGCTGCCCTTGTGGAACTTGGCAGGGAAGAGAATGGAGACAAAACTAGGAGTTGGCTCTGCCTAACATTAGCTCTGGCGCCACCTACTGTTGGGCTCCCAGTCACTACTGAGGATACGTAGTGTTAGGGGTGAAGAACTCTCATGAGTGCTGTGAAGATGTTCTGGAGGGGAGTATTAGATGGCGAGTGAGAGGCGGTTGTAGGAGTAGTTCCCCTCCTGGGTTCTTGCCCAGACCTGAGACTTGGAAAGATGGCCGTGCAAATGGCTGTAGCCACCTCGCTCTTTGAAAGAGGAGCTTAGCAGGTCTTGCCAAGTGTTGGAACAGCATCCTAGCTCGTGCCTAGTTATGAATGAAGGAACTCAAGAGAATGATGTAAGCCACCTCGAGTCCCTTAGTGGATAGCTGGGATATAAAATGCAACAAGAAACTAAGAGCCAGTGTGGTGGAGCTGTGTGAGTGTTGAACTGAGACCTGGGAGATCAGGGTTCAAATATCTGGGCTCAGCCAAGAAACTCACTGGGATTGAGAATCTGTGACTGCCCAGATGTTGCTGGGCTCCAGCTCAATTCAATCCAGATGTTGCGAGACTCTGAGCTTGATTCAAAGTGTTGGTTTTGACCTCTAAAGCCATTGTCCTCTACCCTCTTAGGCTACCTACACATGTAAACCACTGCTTTCCACCCCATAAAAGCACAGGAGGCTGATCCAGCCCCTCCTTTCTTACTCCAGTCAACCTGCAGAAAGAAAGAAAGAAAGAAAGAAAGAAAGAAAGAAAGAAAGAAAGAAAGAAAGAAGTCCAACAGAGTTTAAAATGCAGCTTGGCAGGGGTCAAAGGTGTGACCCACTGATATTTCACCCAGCACACCGTCTTGTGAGAGGGGGCCCTGTCAGGTCAATTTCATCTTTTAAAGTTCTGTTTAAAAACACACACACACACACCAAAGCAAACCTAAGGTCAAGAGAAATGTCCCTCTGCATCCCCTCCCCTCCCCTTTCTTCATTTACGTGGAGACAATTTATTTGGACTATTCCCCCCACCCCCAACCACTGCTCTCTCTTTTTGTTCCTGCCGCAGTTGCAAGCCAGTGGTGGTCACGCTAGCAGAGAGGGGGGTGGATTACAGATACAGAAGGGGATTTTTGTGTGCATGTGCATGTAGGGAAAGCGTGCAATTTCCACTTGCGTCGAAAAAGAGAGAGAGAGATGCTGCTGGATATGAAAAATGGCTTTAAGTCCTGTGCAGGATTATATCTTTCTGTCAAATTTGCATGGGTTAGTTTAGCCTAGAGAAAACAACAACAAAAATTATCAACGGCTGCTAGGCTGCTAGCCCTGATGCCTACACTCTACCTCAGCTGTCAGAGGCAGTAATACTTCTAACTCCCAAAGGCTGGAATATGCAGGAGGGGAAGAGTCGCTTTCATTCTCAGGTCTTGCTTGCAGACTTCCCATTGAGGAAACTGGTTGGCCACTGGAAGAAATAGGACATTGGGCTAGATGGGCCATTGGCCTGATCCAGCAGGCTCCTCTTATGACAGCAAAGGCCTACATGAAAGGTACTTTGGAGTACTTTCTTGTAAATTCTAATCGACTATGGAAATTGTGAATTGCTTTCCCAGGTGAGATGGAAGAAAAGTTTAAAAGAAAAAGATTGTCACCTTTCTTTTTGTCCAGAAAAGGGTTAACTTTTTGTGTTTGCTTGTTTATTCGACTTCTTACCCATCCTTCATTGTAAGGTCCCAAGGTGGGTTAGAACAATATATTATACAATTATAAAAACTGATATTGATATATAGATATGTGCGCAAGTAAAACCATTCTGAACAGAACAGAAGAGTCTAGGCAATTTGCGTATATGTGTGTGAACAAGTAACTTATTATTTTTATTTTTAAATCAGTTACAGATGGTGGTCAGCAGAAACAATGCAAAAATGGCTAGTATTCTTTAAAAAAAAAAATCCCTCCCAAAATTCCAGAAGTGGTTTCTTTCGGAAGAGGCGGAGTTTGTGGAGGCCACAAACTGTATATTGGAGGTCAAATACTGTGGAGCACGGATTAGCCAGCCCAGGCTATACTGGCTGAAAACACGGAATCTCTCCCAGTCCTACCTGAAGCTGACTGGGATTGAACTTGGGACTTTCTGCATGGAGAGCAGATGCTCTACCACTAAGCTACAGCCCTTACTTTGAGACAAGGAACATAGGGTGCCGCTTTATATCAAGTCAGACTATTGCTCCACCCAGCTCAGCATTGTCTACACTGACTGGCAGTGGTTCTACATGAATTTTAAAAAGCAGACATTCTCCCTCCTACCTAGAGATGTCAGGGACTGAACCTTGTGCCCTTCTGAATGCAAGGCAGGAGCTCTACCACTAAGCTACAGCCCTGCGGAATGAACAGCCATGGCGATAGACAGTCTCCTTGGAAGTCTTCAGAACCACATCTTGCAAAGTAGTGCTACTCTATACATGTCCAGCTTTCTTCCTCAAACTCTATGCATTCTTATCCTTTCTCACCTCCTTTCTTACTTTCTCCTGTCTCCTAAGTGTGGACACTTTGGAACTCCCTGCCTGTTGAGATTAAGCAGGTGCCTTCACTGTACTCTTTTCACCTGCTAAAAACGTTATTATTGTTGAGTAAAGAGGAATGAGATTAAATTTATTCTGAAAGTCTATTATGAGGGAGACAGTCGCAAGTGAAGGCCAAAAAGTGGTAGCCACCACTGAAAAGGCCCTGTCATGGATCAACGCCAACCGGGCAGCCGAACACAGGACTGGGGAACCTTTGGCCCTCCATATGATGTTGATCTCTAGCTCCCATTATTGAACATGTTTTCTAGCCCTGTTTTAATCAAGGCTAACAAAAGACAGCACCATAATTATGGTGCTGGAGGAGACTCTTGAGAGTCCCATGGACTGCAAGAAGATCAAACCTATCCATTCTGAAGGAAATCAGCCCTGAGTGCTCACTGGAAGGACAGATCCTGAAGCTGAGGCTCCAAAACTTTGGCCATCTCATGAGAAGAGAAGACTCCCTGGAAAAGACCCTGATGTGGGAAAGATGGAGGGCACAAGGAGAAGGGGACGACAGAGGACGAGATGGTTGGATAGTGTTCTCGAAGCTACCAGCATGAGTTTGACCAAACTGCGGGAGGCAGTGGAAGACAGGACTGCCTGCCGTGCTCTGGTCCATGGGGTCACGAAGAGTCGGACATGACTAAACAACAACTACACAACAACAATAACAAAAACCAGAGCAGACACTCATGCAGAGGCACAGCAGGAAGCCTCCTTTGTGGATGGGGTTCCCAGGAGCCTTGAGTCCAGAAATGGCCAAACTGTGGGTCCTCCGGATGTTGCTGTACCCCATCACCCCAACCACTGTCCATTCTGGCTAGCACTGTCTTGGCTACCCAAGCAACAGGACTCACACCCTGAACATGGGAATTAGAGCATGCGACTTCCATGTGCCAAAGAAAAAAGCAGCTGAATACACACCATATATTTAAAGCACCCCCCTCAAAGAGCTACGGGAACTGTAGTTCTACCCCCAGAGTGCTGTGATCCCAAGCACCCTTAACAAACTACAGTTCCCAGGATTCTTTGGGGTGGGGGAATGTGCTTTAAGTGTGTACGCAGCCAAAGAAAAAAGATGAATGTGTGGGATCCGATTAAAAATATGGTGCTAATGCAGCCAGGAAAAGGAAAGTTTAAGTATAAAGGCATTTGTTTGGAGGTGTGTTTTTTGGGGCTTAAAAAAAAAAAAGACCTGGCAGGAGTTTTTGCCTTGCTGGCTGCGCTCTCGAAGTCTATAATAAAAAAGGAAACGTAAATGGAGGCGAAGAAGCCAATGTCAAGGGGTGAGAGTTTGGGAGAGGTTGTTAAGTATCTCCGTCTCTAAGGCTGTGTTTTCTCTCCCTCCCACCCCCTCCATAATTCTCCCCCCACCCTCCGCCCCGCCACTTACGGGACCTCCTGGGTGATTGATGGATGGGAGAGAGAAAGAGAAGCCGTAAGAGATGGCCACCTGCCTTTCAAATAACCGACACACACACACACACACACACACACACACAGCCTTAGAAAAGACGGCAAACTCTTTTTCTTTTAAGTGCGAAAAATATCATTACTACTATTTAAAAAATAAAATAAAAGCCAACTAAGCAAATCTCTCACACACTCCAAAATAGGAAATATGTTTTGGAAGAAGAGGATAGAGCTTGACATTGACATTTTAATTTTTTAGGGGGGGGGGAGCAGTTTATTTATTTATTTGATGAACACCCCCCCCATCAACTGGGTGGACTACAGCTGAGCAGAACGAGGACTCTCTTTTTTCTCTCTCTCTCTTTCTCCCCCTCCTCTCCTCTCCTCCCCCCCCCCCCAGCCCTGGGCGCCTGCACCACCCCAACCCCGCAAGCCGTTAAAAGTCGTCGGGTGACCCGGAGACCCCTATTTCCCAGAGCCTTGTATAAAATTGAATTTTTTAAACATAAATTACACGTAATGACGACACTGTAAAAACTAACAGTAATGGAAAGCTGTGCTGTATTTCATTAGCCTGTATTATTCCAAGCCACCTGATCCAGGCGGGCCTTGTTTATGAGTTAGGGTGTTAGCAGGATGCCGATGGAAGCATTTGCTTCGACCTTGCACTTCTCATTGGGGCATGAAATTACGACGGCAGCACCTAGATATTACGGCCATAAATACAGTAAACTGCAAATTTAAGCCAACAGCTCCTATTGTCTCCGAACATAAAGCTGATCGGTATTTATTTAAAAGGAGAATGAAAAAAAATATTATATATCACCTTGTTTATGGGTTTATTTCCAACCCCCCTTTCCCATAAACCCACCTCCAATCAACCTTATTTCCACCCCCCCCAAAATACCCACACACACCCAATTTGTTTATTTCCAATCTCAAACACAAAATTTTAAATAGGTAAGTGCAAGTTTTCTTACCCAGAACTCAACCACGGATGCGGCTTCCTACAACCTGGTGCCCTCCAGAGGTTTCGAACTGCAGCTGCCACCAGCCCCAGCTGATGGTTCAGGCTGGAGGGGCACCAGGCTAGAGAAGGCAGTTTGGGGAAGTATGTTGGGCTTGGACCTAGGAAACCAGGGTTCAAAACCCCCACATTTGGCCATGAAGCTCACTTGAAGCGACCTTGGAAGCATGGTTAGGACTGAGTCACTGCTAGCCGACTTCAGGCAGTCCAGCAATAATTTCAGAATCAAACCCAAAACTACTTTAAAATATCTTATCCCCCCCTCCCTGCTCTTTAATTTTTGTGCACACATAAACCTCTGGCTAAAACGCTAAGGAAAAAAATAACAAACACCTCCATAAATTAAATATTCTCACATGGTAGAGATTATCTTTTGAAAATTAGCTTTGGAAAGGGTTTTTTTCTGGGGCGTTGGAGTATTGCAACCCTGCAGTGAAAGAAAGGCCAAGCTGTTTGCTTGATGTAGGCTTACATCGCGGTGGCCGGTGGGGGGGGGTGTTGAGAAAAATAAAAGGAAAATGGTGAAGAGCCCCAAAACCTGGCTATTGTGGGGGGCGGGGGATAACACATAAATTGCATGCATCCAAAGGGATGGAGGACCCAGAACATTTCTATGTCATCTGGTGGGAATTTATTTCTGATGCTTCAGACTTCAATGCCCAACATTCACCATCCATGCCAGCTTGGGAAAGTTGGCTGTCCTGGTTTACATTGGTCTTGTTAACCATTTCTTCTACTAATTATTATTTTTTGTTTGCTTGCTTGCTTTGCACATGGTACGATAAAATGCCCTGCTATTGCACCTTCTAATGCTTAGCAACCGGCATTAAGTTACTATATACATATTAAAGTACCCCCAAACTTTCTTATGCCTAGAAAGCGCCAAAGACGATGATCAAGAGAAGGTGCGGTAGAACCAGGATTTGATGAGGCCCTAAGCTACTGAAGGTAATGGGGCCCTTTATATGTCCAGCTGTCACTGTTTTTTGTGTCGAATATATGCTATATGGTAATTTATGGACCATAATATTTTAGGGAGCAGGCTAGGAGGCGGGGCCCATTACTTACATCATAGGAGCCTACACAACACAAAACACTGTTGCTGTATGTAGGTTTTATTTTATTTGTTTTTAATCTTATATTATTTTGGAAATGTACATCCAGTTGTTTTTCCTTTAAATTTTTTTGGGGCCCCCAAGAGAGTGGGGCCCTAAGATATAGCTTGTTTAGCTTATACGTAAATCCGGCACTGGGCAGGACATAGGAAACTGCCTTATTCCGAGTCAGACCACAGCTCTATCTAGCCCATCAGTGTTGTCTACGCTGACTGGCAGCAGCTCTCCAGGGTACCAGGGTATCCCATTTATGGAATGTTCTCTCCAGGGAGGCTGGCCTGACATCTTCATTACATATCTTTAGGCGCCAGGTGAAAACGTTGCCTTTCAACTGGGCCTTATGCTGATTAACATTCTATGAATTTTTAAATATTGGGGAATTTTTAAGTATTGGTTTGGTCTTGGTTGTTGTTATTATTATTATTATTATTATTATTATTATTATTATTATTACTACACATTTTATGTTCTTGTTTTGCATTGTTTCTACAGTGGTACCTCTAGTTGCGGACACAATCCGTTCTGGGGTGCAGTTTGCACCCCGAAAAGTCTGCAACTAGAGTGGCCCTTCTGCACAAGCATGGAGAGTGATAGAGCACTTCTGCGCATGTGTGAAGTGCGCGGGACGCTTCTGCGCATGTGATGAAACCTGGATGTATACACTTCCAGGTTGGCTGTGTTCGCAAGCCGAAAAGATGCAACATGTACCTAATGCAACACAAGGTATGACTGTATTGCAAACCGCCCTGTAATATTTGGAAGGAGGGTGGCATGGAGATTTAATCAAGGACACACCTTATTTCTGGGATTGTAAGTTGTTTGAACTGCTTTCAATATTGTGTTGCAATGGCTGTAACCCGCTCTGGGACCTTAGGGTGAAGGGCAACTGAAAAACAACAACAACAACGCATAGGATTACACAACCGCTAGACTTAGCAAGTGCTACAGAGACCCCCACCAGAGATTGAGCTCTTGTGGTCAAGTGATCCATCTATTGGGGTGCTCCATCTATTAGGTAGAAGCAGAAAGTTTTAGAGCCTGCTCACCGCCCAGACCGGCATTCTCTGAATCCAACCTCTGCGCCCTGAGAACCTACTCACCTCTATTACGTTAAATGTAGCAGAAGGAGACGCTGGGGTGGCCGGGGGAGGCGTGGAGAGAGAAGGGGGGGCGGAGAGACTCTCGACACAAAGGCAAAAGGACACTGGAATATCGCAAACCGTATCACGGCATAAATCACACCATTACAAGCCAGTGCA